CTTTCCTTATTTGGATGTTGTAAAATAGTCTCATATCTCCTTTCAAAAAATTGAGAGATTTGTCTGCCAGTTTCAGTTGTTGTTTTCATTCACCTGAAATTGTTTCCTGGGGTCTGATTCAGGTAGAAACCAAATTCCAGTTCATTTTCTTTGCATTCTTCCTCCTGCTGCTGTAACAAGTCGCAACCAACCGGAGGGCAGAAATGACAGTTTTGTTCTCACAGTCTGGAAGGAAGATGTCGGAAGCGGTTTCCACTGCGTTGAATCTGAGGTGTCATATGAAGATCTAGGGGAGAACCTTCAAGGTTTGGGGGGGGCTTGTCTCCCCTCTCTTTTTGTTTTTGAACATGCATAGTGGCAAGCCTGGTCCTCCTTATGTGGACTTGCTCTGCCAGGACTGGCAAAGTCTGCCCCTCTTTCATGCAAAAGGTCCTCTCTGGATAGACTTCGACAAACAACTGAGAATATTCACCAGAAGATCACCTTGAACCATAAATCAGTCACCTCAAAGACCCTTTTCCATGCCAGACATCATGCACAGGTTCAGAACTAGGTCAGGAACATCTCTGGGGTCTGGAGAAGCATTACTTTACCTCCCACAAAAACCAAAGAGTTTACTACATCTTATTGAAGCTTTTCTGAACCTGAATCCACATGGTTACTAGTCTGCAGCAATAATAGTAATAGCAACCATTTATGCTTGGAAAATTTTAAAGCATCGAATGCATATTATCCTGTTAATTCTTTCAACCACAATTGATCCTAAATACTATTAAGATTTACTTTTAATTTTGTGTGTGTGTGTGTGTGAATACCAGTGCACATGTGAATATAGATTCTCAGGAAGTCCAGAAGAGGGTTCAGATCTTCTGGAGCTAGAGTTACAGACTGTTATGAACCTTCGACATAGGAATAGCACTTAAGTCTTCTGGAAGAGCAGTATGTGATCTTAACTACTGGGCTCTTAAACATCTCTAGCTTTTATTGTTATTCTCTTTTAAAAGACTTATTTATTTATTATGTATACAGTGTTCTGCATGCCTGTGTACCTTCACGACAGAAGATCCCATTCATTATAGATGGTTTAGTTCCCGTATGTTTGCCGGGAACTAAACTCAGGATTTCCGGAAGAGCAGCCAGTGCTCTTAAGTAATGAGCCATCTCTCCAGCCCTCTTATTGTTATTCTTTTTTTGTGTGTGTGTACATGTGTGCATTTGGTGTATGTATGTGTGTGATGGGTGTCTTTCTCTACTGTTTTGAACAGTATTTTTTGGAGACAGGCTCTCACTGAACCTGAAGTTTACTGCTTTGGTTAGACTGGCTGTCTCTGGAGCCTCCCATGATCCACCTACCTATTGTGGAGTAATCTTTTTGTACACTGTGAAAATTTGTCACTTGGATTGGTTTAATAAAAAGCTAAATAGCTAATAGCTAGGTAGGATTTTAGGGGCAGAGAGAATGCTGGGAAGAAGAAGGGCAGAGAAGGTAAACAGACGGGGAATGAGTGGTACACACAATTTGGGATAAAGGTAAAAGTGACGTGGTAGAATGTGGGTTAATAAAAATATAGCTCAAACTAAGTTATAAGAGCTAATTAAGAAGAAGCCTAAGATATTGGCTGAACTTTCATAATTAATAAGAAGTTTTTGTGTGGTTATTTGGGAGCTGACAGGCGAGACAGAAAAATCTGCCTACACCTACCTCCACCTTCTCCCCGGCATGTGCCACCTATGTAGCTTTTACATTGGTCATGGGGATTCAAAGCCAGATCCTCACTGAGCGCAGCAAGCTCTTTACCCACTGAGCCACCTCCCCAGTTCTCTAAATACTATTACTGGTTCTACCTTAGAGACATTAAAGGACAGAGTGACACTAATTAGGGTGGTGGGGAGTAACTGAGCCCTGGCTACAGTCTGGGCAGTAAGCTTCAAAATCCTTGTGTTTGGCCTCACGTTACTAGTAAATGAATAAATGAGGCAGAGCTGTCTAGTTTTCCTTAGCATGCTCTTCCCTAGATCACATAACTTCTCTGAGTCTCAGTTTCATGACTGGTCAAACAGTAACAGTGCAGCGTCTTCTCTGCACGCCGCAGGCCTGCTGCTGTGACTGCACACTGAGTCAGGCATAAAAGCAGGGCAGGAAAGAAACCCAGCGCCCTGAGCACTGCTCTTCCACATCTCACTGGAGGAGACAGAACTGAGACTCAGGTTTCCTAGCAGCCAGGCTACTTCCATTCCAGGATGGTCACGGGAACACTTACAGACTGAAGCCATCAAATTGCGCATTTTCTCTTCACCAACCTCCTTTCTAATAGCCAACATCAAAGCCATGTCTATGTAGTTAGTCAAGCAACCGTGTCAAAGAGTGTCACCAAATCTCAGATGACACAGTTATAGCGTCCAAATATGCAATCCTTCTTAGCTGGAGCAGGATCAGGTTCATAAGTAATATTTACTTTTCATGATTGATCAAGGATCAAAGGGAAAAAAGAGGGGAGAATTTCAGAAATTAACAGTGAATGGAAGCCACATGGGCTTTGGTCCCTGCTGCAGCAAGCCTTTCTGTCGGACTTTCTTTTGTGGGCCCACCAGCCTCAAATAATGACACAGAGATTATTATTAATTATGAAAGCTTTGCCTTTAGATTAGACTTGTTCTGTGCTAGCGTTCATAACGTAAATGAACCTGCTTTAATTAATCTATGGTTTGTCATGTGACTTTTTCCACTCTTCCATTCTGTATGTCTAACTTGCTTGGCATCTTGCTGGCATCTCTCGTGTGCCTCTGGTTCAAACTCTCTGAGTTCTCCTCCCTCTGTCCGGAAGTCCTGCCTAACCTCTCCTGCCTATCTATTGGCTGTTCAACTTTTTATTAAACCAGCTACAGTGACACATCTTCACACAGTTTAAAGAAATACCCCACAACACTCCATGACTTTGCCCCCATCCCCATCATATTTCTGCCCCTTTCCATGGCTCCTTGACTACTACTCTTTGTAGACTAGGGAACATAAAATCAGGATGCTAGTTGTGGGCTCACCACCAATGATTTCTATTTTGAATTTCAAAAGAAACATTGGAAAAAAAACAACAGTGAATAGCGGGGAGATGCACTTTATCAGATATTAAGACAGACATTAGTTCCCCCTGCTATCCTTAGGGAATATATTTCAAGATGCCTACCAGATGCTTGAAACCTAAGATAAATATCTGGCTTTGTATATTCTGTTTTCCCTCTATAAATACATATCCAAAATAATTTATGAAGTAGACACCGTAAGGGAGTCATAATGGGAACTAACAATAAATAAATAAATTAAGTAAAATAAATCTAACCTAAACACAAGTACTGTGGCACCACAACAGCCTACCTGATAACCAAGATGGCTGCCAAGTGACTAATGGGTGGTTGGTGTATACCATATGGATACTCTGAGCATGGGGTGATTCATGTTCCGTCTCAGCTAGGATGGACAGAATGGCATGAGATAATCTTTACTTCAAGTAGAGCACGATTTAAAGTGTTGGGAAGTTTTCAGACCACAGATGATGGGCAGTAAATGAAACCATGAAAAATGACACTGTAGCTGGAGGAGTACTGTCTAACTAAGGAATGGGAATATAAAGACAGGCTGGAAAAGTAGCTAAGTTGTTGGCCTGTGCATGAAGCTCTAGCTTTAATCCCCGGCTTCACACCAGGAATGGCATACTCTCACTGAAGCTGAAGGCACCCTGTAAGTTCCAGAGATTCTTGTGTCTCCAGTCCCTACAGTGCTGGGGTTGCAGGCTCAAATTTTTCCTCTGTGTGTGTGTGTGTGTGTGTGTGTGTGTGTGCTGGGATCTGAATTCATTTCTTTAAGATTGCACAGCAAGTGCTCTTACTCACTGAGCCATCTCTTCAGTTCATCTTAGTCTTTAAAAAATTGTGTGCTTGTACACACACGTGAACGTGCATGCAGGCGTGTAAGATAGAGGGAGTGTGGAGGCTATAGGGCAACTTGTAGGAGTCAGTTCTCTCTCTCCACCTAAGTATGTTCAACAGGCAGAACTCAAGGTGTCAGGTGTGGCAGCAAGCTCCTTTATCCACCGAGCCTTCTTGATCCCACACTCTCCTTTTCCTTCAAAAACTAATGTGTATGGTGTTTTGCCTACATGTATGGTTGTGTACCATATGTGTGCATTGTTCAGGAGGTCAGATACTCTGAAACTGGAGTTTCAGAAGGGCGTTGGCTTCCATGTAGGTTCTGGGAATTGAACCCTTGTCCTCTGGAAGAGCAGCCAGTGTTCTGTTCACCCACCTTATTCTTGCTAGAACTAAATATAAACGAGTCTGCGAGCTCCTCTAGAGCAAGGCACTACTCCACCAAGGTCTTAAGTATCACTTTCCACTCACCCCACCGTGCCAAACACTAGCTTCTGGTACCCTAAGAAGAGCCGCTCTCGTCACAACTTGAACAGGACCATGTTTCATTCTAAAAGGGCTGGCTCTAGCATCTCTTAGTAAAGCCTTACTATTTTTTCAGGATTCAGTTTAGGTCTCTCTTCTAGGAGACCCTTTGGGACTTTTCCCTTCCCCCAATGTCAGCGTCGTAGGATTGTATTCCTATACCCCTGTCCCCTACCCTCAGACACACACTGCGCACTAATCGTCCGATTTGGCCACTCAAAGTCCCCGTAGGCCCGGGGAGCTAAGCTAACAGGGGCTTGTCCGCATCAGCAGCTGGGCATCAGGGAAGACAGAGCAGCCCCCAAATAACCGGAAAGTTACTCTCACAGGTGCATGACAGCCCAACCCACCGTCCTCTCCCCACCTCTTCACTCTCATTGGCTTAGCCTGCCCGCGCCCATTCCCCGCCCCCAGCCCGCCTCCCGGTCGCCTGGGGACGCGGAGAGCTCTGCGCACGCGCCGAGAGGCGGGGCGCGCCCCTTGAGGGCGGGGCGCGGGCCGAGGGAGCCCGACCGGGGCGCGTCGTTGCGAGGCAGTTGTGTCCTACGGCGCGCGCAGCCCCCCGGGCGGGGGCGGGGCCGTGGCGGCCGCTGAGGCGGCTCCCTGCTATGGTCCCGCCCCCTCCGTGCGCCCCGCCCCCTCCACCCACCCCGCCCCCTCGGCGCGCTGCTCTCGGGCTCCCGCCGCGCTCGATCTCTCGCCGCCCGCGGCCTCTCGCTCCGCTCGCCCGCGGCCGAGAGCGGGACCAAAGAGTCCTTCTGGTGGGCGGCGCGGGGCTGCGCGCGTCCAGCATCCCGGGGCCGCTCGGGCCGGCCGGCGAGGGAGCTCCCCTCGGCGGTCCATGCATCCGCCGCCGCCCGCCGCCGGCGTCGCGATGGATTTCGGGCAGAACAGCCTGTTCGGCTACATGGAGGACCTGCAGGAACTCACCATCATCGAGAGGCCGGTCCGCCGGAGCCTCAAGGTGCGCAGGGCCGAGAGACGCTTCCCTCAGGGCGGTCCGCCCGACCCGGCGGCATCCGACGGCCCCGGTCGCCGTGTCACCGCAGCCGCTTTAGAGCCTCACTCTCCGCCGCAGCCAAGGGTCGGCCTGTCCCTGTCCCCTTGACTGAAGCCTGCCCCTTCCCCTGACTGAAGCCAGCCCCTCACTCTGACTGGAGCTAGCCCTGTCTCCTCACTGAGGCTAGCCCCTTCCCCGGACTGGAATCAGCGGGGTCCCTAGACTGCGGCCAGTTCTGTCTCGGAACTGAAATCAGCACTGTCCCCTGACAGGAACCAGCCCGTCCCCCGACTCGGTCCCTCGACTGCGGCCAGCCTGCGCCCCACCCGGCTCAGGCCTCTCCCGCGAACGGCCAAGCCGCTGTTCTTGTAGCCAGCCTCGGTGTGTCCCTCATCCGCAGCCGGCTTCTCTCTGGGTCCGTGTTCCCAGGTTCTGGACTCTGGCCCACTTTTCGGGTTCACACAGCCCTACCTCGCTCGGTCTCTCAACCGGACATCCCAGGTCCCATCCATTCACGGTCCTCACCCCGACCTCTTCTTACAATCAAGCTTGGGTCTCCTGGTGCCCAGGGCGGCATGGCCTCCCTTCACCTCTCGAAGACAGGCACCCTTCCCAGAGTTGTCCTGGTTTAGGGTTTCAAAGCCTCTCCCATCCAGAGGCACCATGCATCCCTTTCCTCCCAGCCCCTCCAGGACTGTAGGTGGGACCCTGCTCCCCAGCCCCCTTGAGGGAGTCAACCTTTATTTGTCCACCCCCCATTAGCTCCCCCACCCCTCAAAGTCATCTCCCCAGCCTTCTGAGACGCCAACCCTCATCCTTACAGACGGTAAACCTAGTTTCGGGACCCTTTCCCTCCTCATCTGGCCAGTCCCTCATAGTTCTCTTGAACCTCTGATTTCCTTTCAGGCTGAGTCTCTTGGGCTCCCAACCGAGCTCCAAAGCTTGTCCTTTTCGATGCCATTCAACTCGCAGTCTATAACCCCCCCCCCCAAACATTCCCTGGTGTGGAAAAATGCTTTAGTCTTGGAGGATTCTGTTGGAGATAAAAATATGTGAATATATGTATCCGTGTCCACATGTGGTATATATGCATATGAAGTTGTTTCCAGCGAGGTCCTGGACTCTGCAAGTTAGAGTAAAAACAGTCCCTGCGCCCAATCCCCTACTGGAGACCTTGGTGTTTGCTATAAAGTAGAGGAATCATCAGACTCTGAATGAGTTGTCGTTGCTATAACTGAAACCTTTTCATCAATAGGGTCTTTGAGGGTCTTTGGGAGGCAAGAGGGACCAATGTTTGCACATCTAATTTGCATATTATACTTGACAGACACCAGAAGAAATAGAAAGATTGACCGTTGATGAAGACCTCAGTGATATTGACAGGGCTGTTTATCTGCTCAGGTATGTCTCAGTCTTTCTGTCAGATTGCCGCTCTTTGCCTGTGGGGCAAACAAGCACTCTTTCTGAAATGTCATGTTTCAATTGTCGATGGTGTTCAGATTTACTCTCCCACTTGAACAAAGTACTTTTTTTGCATGCATCATAATTATGTTGTGAATTAGGTTAGGCTTGGGCTTATGAATTTGAGAACTGAAATCAAATAACATATCTAATTTAAAGAACATTGCCTGGAGGAGGAAAAGCAGAACAGCTAATGGTTTGAATTGAATCACATCCTTTTAAAATTACTTTCCAACTTTTGCTCATGCAGGAGTCAGTTAGGATAGATAAGATTTAAGGGTATCCAGTGATTAATTTTAAAGCTCATTGTAGAGAATGAATATTACATGCTATTTCTTATATAGAAAAATTCACAAATACAGATTTGTGCTCAGGATATATTTATATTAGTTTTGCAGTATGGGTTTACATTCCACAAGCGTTTCTTTTTTTAAAAAAAATTAAATTGAATCTGGTCTCATTTAAGTTTCAGACCATCTCAAGGCTCTACAGAATAGCTTCAGACAAATGGTTATGTTGTATTATGTATGTGTCAGATGATTCTACATTATATCAAACACAAAGGTCTCCAGTCCCGTGCTGGGGGTGGAGGGCAGGGAGCGGGGACTGTTCTTATTCTTCTAACGTATAGACTTCGGGACCTTACTTGAATCAACTTCATATGCATATATGAACATACTAATACAAATGTTCAGAATCGTTTAAAAGGTAAATATATTGATGAAAAGTCTTCAGAAATAGAAATGTCCTAGGCATTTTGTATATATTTAAAATTATTTTTATCTATTATGTATTTTTTTCCTTTTGGTAAATTAGTCTTCATTTTTGCTGTTGGGAATCAGATTTTGAAAACTGGTGTTACCTCCTACAATGTCTGTTCTCCTTGTTTCCTTTGCTTACGTCTACTTTACTAGCTTCAAGTGCTGACCAGCTTCTTATTCTGTTCTTGATTATAGACGATGGATCACATTTCCAGTCCCATCATGTTTATTGAATGAGTATATAAGAATTTCCTTTTCTAAGATTCTTCCTCCTCCTCTTCCTCAGACTCCGGGCCTTGCCCAGTGAAGCAAACTGTTCACCACTGATCTGTATCCTAGCCTCTCTCTAGGATTTTTCTTAATTATTATTTATCTCCTGGTGGCACCTTGAGTTTCTGTTCTTGCTATTTATCAATATACCTACCATTCAGACCCTGTTGATTATGGTCTTCAATGAATATAACAAACAAAAACCAAGCCAAACAGATAGACAGGCAGACAGACAGACTAGCACAAGGAAGCAAGCAAAGTGAAGGGGAGCTTGGTGGCCACATTTGTAATCCCAGTGTTTGGGACTGATGCAGGAGAATTGCTGAGAGTTCAAGGACAGCCTTGGCTACATAGGGAATACCAGGGCAGCCAGTGCTTCATAGTGAGACCTTTCCTGTCCATTGCCTTTCACCATGATTCTTCTGCACATGACTAAACAGTTGAAGAATATTGGATACATTTCTCTTGATATGCAGCAGCTAATGATTGCAAATAAGTCCTGCTTATTCCTGTGGCATACTTTTCTTTTAGTGTAAACCCTTACTTATAATCAGGAAACAGAGAGTTGTACAGATGCCTCACTCTAGATGTCATTGATAAACCTGTTTTTTAAGTTTGTTTTTTACTTTTCTTTTACTGTTGATTAGAGAACTAAGTTGTCTTCCTTCCTTCCTTCCTTCCTTCCTTCCTTCCTTCCTTCCTTCCTTCCTTCCTTCCTTCCATTCTTTTTTTCTTTTCTTCCCTCCCTCCTCCTCCCTTCCCCTCCCCTCCCCTCTCCTCCCCTCCCATTCCCTCCTTTCCTTTTCAGATATCGAACATAAATTTCCCTTATGGACTCTCATAAAGGCCTTATGAGACAGATATACCTCATACCTCTTTTCAAAGAAGAGAGTTTAAAAAGAGATCATCTGTCTCCTTTAGTTTCTTATGGATAGGGGAACCCTAGTTTGCTTATGTGTGGGTTCTTTTGTATTACTACCCTCTTACCACCTCCTGGGGGCAGGAGTGTTTGGGAAAAGTGGGGTTTCTCTAGAGGGATTAAGGCAGGATTACCTGAAGGGTTCTTTCTTCCCCAGGACTCAGGAGGGAACAGGGTTGTTTTACAGATGTATTCAAACTGTTTCTGTTAAAGCTTGCTTTCTTATCTGCTCTCTTGAAGTGAGCTTTCTATTTTAAATAATTTATTCTCTTAAAAAATTGTCTGAATATTCTAGAACCTAATTAGGAACTTCAGTCTTTTCCCTCTGTAGATGATTTTCAGGTTTAATTTTGAGTGCTTCACTATTCCTAGTATTGGATTTGTGTATTTACTTGTGTGTTATATTTGCTTCTTTGGTTCTCTTATTGTGTATTTAAACTCTGGGACTCATTTAAAATATTTATTTATTTTTGTATATGGGTGTTTTGCCTGTATGTCTGTGCTCCACATGTAGTCAGTGCCTGAAAAAGGCATTGGATCTGATGGAACTGGAGCCTCTATCCTGTGAAAGAACAGCCAATAATTATTAACAAAATTAATAAATTTATATAAAATAAATTAATAAAACAAATTAACCACTTAGCCATCTCTTCACCGACCCCCATTCTTGAAATATTAATAATACTGAATTAGAATGTGTAAGCATCAGTAGGCGAAGCTTTACATTTATGGAGGTTCTCATAGCATTTAAATTGAATCCAGCATCTATTAACAGACAAATTCATTGTTTACTTCGAAAGTGTGACAGGCCAGTTATCATTGCCATTTTAACAGAAAGTTTAGAACATTACGATGCTTGAAGATTTAGCACAGATGATTTTGTGGTTTTGCATAAATATGATGCTGATAGACCCATCTGTGGCATTTAGAACCGAAGCAAAACAACTTCCCAATAGTCACAGCTTGTATCTTAGTCAAACTCAGAGCACAGCATCTTTTTCCAGTTCTCTCTCTTCTGTGTGATTTTGGCATGTATTTTAGGAATGTACTCAAAATATGTGAATAGTTTTATTAGAGAAGAGTCTAAGTATGCATACTGTATTTTCATTAAGTAATTTTTCAAATTGTTTCCTAGATAATCTTAGACCTTTAAGGCATTTAAAATCCTTGGTAAGTGTGACTCCTTTGGCTGTACATTGTATATCCTGTTTGTTACTCACTTTTTTTTTTCTAAGACAGGGTTTCTCTGTGTAGTCCTGGCTGTCCTGAAACTTGTTCTTTAGACCAGGCTGGCCTCAAACGCACAGAGATTCACCTGCCTCTGCCTCCTGAGTGCTGGGATTAAAGGCGTGCGCCACCACTGCCTGATTTGTCTTTTGAGAGATACAAGTACTAAAACAATAGGGAAGATGAGAGAAGCTTTAATGTTGGGGAAGGCCTCCTGGTGCTAGATTGCAGATGGACCTTGGGATGTTAATTAGACAGGTCTGACAAGGAATATTCTGGAATGAGGAAAGGCAGAGTGAAGGGTGACCACATGGATCCAAGTGACACTGAAAAAATTAACATTACTGCTCCAAAAGGTTCAGATCTGACTAGAAACAGCCTAAATGTTCATTTGCTGATGAACACATCAACGAAATGTGGTACAATAGTTCTCCTTTACCGAAGATTTTGCTTTCTGTGGTTTGTTATTCACCCACAATTACTATTAGAAGACTCTGAATGGAAAATTCCGGAAATAAAAAAATTCATAAATTATAAATAGCATGCCATTTCTGCAAAAATGAAAAACATTCTTCTTGCAATGTCTTGCAATATAGTACTCTGTAAGCCGGGTGGTGGTGGCGCACGCCTTTAATCCCAGCACATCGGGAGGCAGAGGCAGGCGGATCTCTGTGAGTTCGAGACCAGCCTGGTCTACAAGAGCTAGTTCCAGGACAGGCTCCAAAACCACAGAGAAACCCTGTCTCGAAAATATATATATAGTATTCCTTATTTAGTAATGGCCAAAACATTGGGCTAGTAGGGCTGGCAATTTGGATATGCCAGAAAGAAGCTATGAAGTGCTTCCTTTACATGAGAAACTGAACTTCTAAATGGGGGGGGGAACAACTGTATACTAAGATTGCTAAAACAAATGGTAGAAAAGATAGTTATGAGCCGGGCAGTGGTGGCGCACGCCTTTAATCCCAGCACTCCGGAGGTAGAGGCAGGCGGATCTCTGTGAGTTCAAGTCCAGCCTGGTCTACAAGAGCTAGTTCAAGGACAGGCACCAAAGCCACAGAGAAACCCTATCTTGAAAAACAAAAAACAGAAAAAAAATCAAACAAAAAAGATCGTTATGTAAAAATAATAAGGAAAAAGACATTTCTGCTTATTTTGCTGCTGTCTAATCTCAAACTACAAAAGTTATGGCCATATATATACTTGACAAAAATGGAAAATGTGTTAAATATCAGGACTTGGTACTCTGCAGGTTCAGCATCCAGTAGGAGGCCCTGAAACAAATGGCCTGTAGTCAAGCGAGAACTACTATATGCCTCCACAATAGAACACTATTTACCAACAAAAAGGGATGTAATAATGATGCTCTATCACCCGGAAAACAGATTCAGGTTCCAAGGCCATATCATGTACCATTTCATTTATAGAATACCAGAATAAGCAGGTCCACAGGGACAGGAAACAGATTAGTAAGTAGCTTTGAAAAGTTGAAAGGATCCAGAAGTAAGATGTAGCTACAAGCTTCAAGGGAGATGAGAATGTTCTAAAATTGACAGTAGTGTTAGCTGCACAGTTCTGTGAATACATGAAAACCACTAATTGTTCACTTCAAAAGAAAACCATATGGAATGTGAAACACACTTTAGAAAAGCCATTTTAAAAAGTGAGAAAGAGCCAGGCAGTGGTGGTGCATGCTTTTAATCCCATTACTTGGGAGGCTAGTTTCAGGACAGGATCTAAAACGACAGTGAAACCCTGTGTTG